TTGTTGTGTGTTTGAATTTATTTCCCCGACAAATCTCCTGAAGTAACTTAGAATTGGTTATTTTGTTCAATATCTCAACTAAAATTTAAGGATATATATCAAATAAATAAAAAAATTAGGTGTTGCTTTATTGATACAAATCTTTAAAAAAAAAATATAGTACCCGATTTTCAATTCTCTTAATATTATTCAATAGAGTGTACTTGTTTCCATTTCCCTGTAAATCTTTTGGACAATATATAAAGGATTGGAAATAAAAGATATAACATGATTTATAAAAGAAAAATGGAAATGGATACAATGCATCTAAAATATGAATTGAAAGAACGTAATGAATTACTTGGTTTAACTTTGTTTTAGTAAAATTATACTAATTAAAAAAATATTTTTATTATATTATTTGATATATTTGAAGAAACCTTAACTTGTATAAAAGTATTTCTTTTTTTTTTTCTTATAATTAAAAGTAGTGGTAATATATGTGAAAATTTTATTCATTGTGAATTAATATTGAAATATTTATTACACATTAGGGTGTTTCTTTTCTTTAGTTCCATAAAATTTGAATTAATGTTGAAAAAGCTTCACCCTCTTTGGTCACTCCTCGGTAACAGCAGTCTCCAAATTGATTCTTTTTCCACAGCATATGTTATATATGTATATATTACTAAAGATAAGGATTATTTTGTTATTCATGAATTTAACCTATAAACCTCTAATAAATATTTATTGGACCATGTGATTCTTCATTTTAACTTGTTTTTGGGAAATTTGGATGGCCACCAGGTGTCTTTATAATCTGCATTTATTAGAAAAATTAATTGCAGTTTGATCTGCTTTTATGATATGTATTTATTTTATTATTCAATAAAAAAATAATCATTCAACTCTAATTGTAAAATACAACTATTACAAATTTTAAAATAAAGCTAAGTAAAGTTCAAGATTCAAACTACACTTACTTACAAATTACAATTTTAATAATTTCGTAATTTGGTAACACTTGAACTAAAAATAAAAAGAATATACATAAATATAAATAAAACATTCAATCAATGTAACTAAATTTCACAGCAGAAGAAAAACTCTTATTTTATTTGGGTTTTTTCCATAACACCCTCACAAGACGCTGAAATATAAATAAAATTTATTAACGAATGAAACAATAAACTAATATTAATATTAATATTAAATGGAACAAAATAAATAAATATAAAATTTTAAATAGGAAAATATAATTGGAATGAAACAAAAACAAAATAGAACAAAACTTCAAAGCTCTCGAAACAAAAATGGTTTATAGAATTATAAAAAAAACGAAAATAACAGATTTACATAAAATAAAAAATAAAATAAAATCAACTATTGAAGAATAACGACAAGAGTGTTTAGCAAAATTTCTCTCTTTTTTTTCACAAAAAACAAGCATGTAAGACTTTATTGGAAGAAATTTAATTCAATAAAATTAATTTTAATTTAATAAATAAAATTCAAGAATTTAAGACACATCAGAATCAAAGTAATATTAAAGCAAAAAAATTCTAAAATTGGAATTACGAAAAATCCAGAAAGATGAATGGAACCCATAAAACACAGAAAATAACAAGAATCTGGAAATTTGAATAGAAGAACAAAACAAAAATAAAATAAAATGTACATTGCATTAAAGTCTGAAATAAAATCCGCAGAAGTGTAACATTGCACTCTTTGAGCTTCTCTAATGGCTACCCCTCTAAGGTTAAAACCAGAGAAAAAGTATCTACGTTCCCCCCACAGTATACATATAATCTTATTATCCTACTAATCATCGTCCTAATCTCAATTATAACATTCCAAAATCTTTAAACATGATTATAGCATCAAAGCAAATCGACACAGCATCGTCCTATATATTTACCCTAACAATAATATCCACAAGATTGGAATTCAAACATCAAATTTGAAATCATGGCTCTGCACTTTAAAACACACACAAGGGGTGGAGGTTAATACAATTGGGAGGTTCGCAAAGTAAGATAAAAAACAAGTCCATAAACATAAGGGATGTGGGGTTAACATGGTGTAATTGGAAGATAGGGGTGCAGGAAAACTAAAATGAAAGGGCAGCAAGACAAATCAGGCCCAATGTCTCCATACCCATTAGCACCACCACATTGACTTTAGGTGAGTGTCACTCCCTCCACCAGCTCCCTACACTTCCTTATTTCTCTTTTGCCCCTCTAAATATTTAATTTGTGGTGGTTAAAATGTATTTACCTTCTCTGACATCTATCCACTATATAAATGCACCCCCACACCTAGCACTCCCACGGAAATCTGATTTCTCTTGCTTCTTCTCTCCTCTAACTGTGATATTGTGGATACAGAATTCAATACCCTTAAACGGATATCGGGTATCCATAGAACACTTAAATGGATCTCAGAATCCGTCGGCGGATATCGACATATATTTAAGTGTTCTACGGATATGCTGCCGCCTTTCACGTTTCTCTTCTTCATTTAACACAGAACAGAGACACATAACACCCAACACACAGACAACACGTGTTCACAAAGAATCTTGACAAAAATAGGAAATTGGAAAAAGATAAAGATGGAAAATTGGGAAAAGAGGAAGAGGAGAATAAGAGAAGAAAAAAGAAAGTAAGACTATAGTGGGTGGTGGTATGGTATGCAGAGTGAATAAGAATGAAAAATTAAAGTTTTAAATAAAAGTTAAAAAAGGTAAAGGGTAAAGGTAAAAATAGTATTTTTAGAATTAAAAAAAATTAAGAAACTATAAGGAACCATGTGCGGTGGTGGTGGGAGTAACTCTCACTTTAGGTTCATAAAGAAACTACTCGTGAAAAAAAAAAACAATTGCATAACAAATCACTTCTAAATAATATCAAATTTTAACTTTTATAGTGTTATAATTATAATAATTTTTATAAAAAAATATATAAACAGAATTTTCATATGGCCAAAAGCATACACAACAAATCATTATTATATATTTTTAAAACATAAATATTCTTGTATAATAATAACAAAAAAAAAAAAGAAATCAACAACTTCTAAAATCATTTTAATTTGTTCAAATATAACATTTACATAAATAAAACATCATTCAACAAATATTAATACCATTTTAACTTTGTCCAAATAAAACAAAACATCATCCTATGTCCCCTTATTTCATTCTCTCTCTCCCTCTTTCTTCTCAATCCATATTTCTTAATTTTTGTTTGTTGCTATGGTCCTCTGTCTTATGAACCTGTGTTTTGGACTGTAGAGGAAGATAATTAAAATAATTAGAAGAACAATTAAAAGTTTACCTTCAAGCTCAGTGTATTGCTGTACTTTTTTGCACTGTCCTGGGTTTGATTCTTTGTGGCTAATTGTTGCCTAAAAATGTTGTATTTGTTAACAATTTTGGTTCATTTATATAAATATATATATAATAAATCATTAAATATGTTATGATTATTATATTTTATTAATCCATTATAAAATGATGTAATTAAATAAATATGGCTAAGCACATATATGTTAAGAAATGTTTACTGTGTTAAGAAACGTTTATTATTTTTATTTTTTCCTCTTTATCTCTGTTAGGAGAGAAAATCAAGAAGGAACCCCTAAGTGTATTAAGATTATAGATCAATCCAGATTGATTCATTAATTATTTTTAATGATTAATTCTTTATGTATGTTTTCGATTTTCTATTCAAATAAGGAATGGGGAAGTGCTCTATTTAAAATAGTTTATTGCTTATGATTGTCATTAATTTGTATTAATTTGTATGAATTATAAATCTAACCATATTCAAATTATGTCTATCTTCTCTCTAAATTTGATGAATTTATTTGAAAATGTTTTTAACACTAATTAACCATTGGTATTTGAGATGTTGAAGCATTGTATCAATTTCTATTTTTCTTTTATAAATCATGTTAGACATCTTTTATTTTCAATCCTTTACTAAATATGCATTATCTTTTACTTTTATAAATCATGTTGTTACATAAAAGAACTATGAAACTTTAATTTTAATATTAATAGTTTTGTAATAAAATTGTATGAACACTTTGTAGCTATATTATGAAATTTTTTAAAATTCAGTTATAATAAATAAATTTTTTTATTTAAATTATATTTCAAAGTAGTATCATAGTTGAGTTTTGAAAATTTTTTGTAAACATGTGATATCCCTTTTGAGGTATTACATTAAAAATATAATTAGAAAAAGAGGGCTATCTTAAACTTTTAAAATATCAAATTAAAAATAATATTTTTATTAAAAACCAACTAGTGAAAGACAGCAAAACTGTTTAGCAGAACTTCTCTCACTTTTTTTTTAACAAAAACACTTGGCAGTAATATTTTATTTGAAAAAATTTAATTCTATAGAATTAATTTAATTTATTAAATATAATTGACCCATATTAATTTAAAATTAGATATTTTGTATTTATTATTTTAACTCCATCTTCAAAACTAATATCAATATCTCTTTATATTTAAAATTTAAAAACGAAGTATGTCCTTGGCATCTAAAATTTCATATAAAATTAGATTTTCTTTTCTTCTTAAATTTTAAAAGTGAAAAGTAATATTCATCACCAAATTGCCTGATATTAAAAATGTGTATATATGTATATTCACGTTATCTCGTGATACATTTATTATAATAACAAAATTCAATTTCACAAATTTAAAAAATAAAAATATATTTAACTTTTTTAAAAAATTATAAACATTTTAATTTTTAAAATACATAAAAAATAACATGTCTTATCTTTTCAAAATAATTATAAAAAATTAATCCAATGAACTTAATTTAAATTTATGTATCTTAAATAATAGTTAAAACACAAATAAAATAATAAATAATACATATATTAATATGCAAAATAAAAATATATTACAAAATTTTTTTTAATAAAATTTGAAACGCAATTAACTAATTTTACATTAAAAAAAGTTTTTCAATGGACATATGTTGTGAGTAAGAAAATTGAGAAAAATACTTAATTTTCCAACTTAATAAAAAATGTTATCTCAGAATACCTTCGTCTAAGACCCACACCATAACTTTTTATAAAAATCATGTACCAAAATCACAAGGAAACTTATCAGGACCTTGTGGGGAACTAATCTAACAACACATTAAAACTAAATGAAACATTGATAAAACTACTCTTCCATGGCACGATTCTCCTCTGATTGCGGTTGAGAAACCTTGATCTTTGGCAAGGTAAGAGACGGATCCTGTTGAAGCACTGAAGGAGCTTTGACCAAACTGATGCCCTGCTCCAACTCTCTCACTGCCTCCTTCAGCAGCTTTTCCTTTTTGCCTTTCATCCTATTCAAGTTTTTACACAATATCAACAAAAGACCAAAGAAAATACTTTGTAAGCCTTTCCAATATAAATAAATAGGAATGAAAGAGGACCTATTCTTATGGTGTCTTTCCTCCCTGGTGACTCTGATCTTATCAATCTTTGGAATAGCCTTAAGGACATTCTCCGCAACATTCCTGTCATATCTTTCAGGCCTGTTTCGCTTTCTCTCAAACTCAAAGGTCGAGTCCTAAAACAAAACACAACAGCTGTTAAGTTTTTCTATAACAAAGCAATTAAATTAAAAGGTACCTATGCACAAATTACCTGTGTCATATCCTTTCCATGGACTCTACGGTATGCCTTGGTCCATTTTACCTTGCGGGGATTTCTCTTCATTTTAAAGTTTTTGTGGCATTTCGATCGACAAAACCGAAAAATCTGCAAAACAGAAACAGTTAATCTCATCTAATCAAACAAGACCAATCAATAAGATATAAAATACTGTTGCACAAGAGAATGAATAAACAATAGTAGAATACTCTTAAGAGTCAGATCCTAAATAAAGAGTGGTCTTCATTTTACCTTTGCATCATTCCGAACAAACTGGATTCCGTGTCCAGGATATACAGTCGAAGAGCAAAACCAGCATTTTTCCAATCTCATTGTGTTTCAGAATAAAGGCGCACTTCACTAGAAAAAAAAAAGTAAACCACCAAGATCAGAAACAATAAGAGTATATCAAATACTGTTGCACACAGCTAAAAATACTGTTGCATCTCTGTGCTGAAGTTTATTCTTTGGAGATTTGTCTTTTCATTTTTAAACACCTTAGCTCAATGTTGTTGTTGTAACCTTTTTTTTTAAGTCAAACAAATAACAAACGATTTATAAGCATTTATACCGTCATCTTATGGTTTCTTCTTTAATTTGAGTGTGAAAGGGAATGATCTTGTTGTTGAATCTGTGTGAGGTTTAATATGCCGACCCAGACCATCACCCCTGAGCTACAAAAAGATTTGAAATTGTTGAAGGTGATATTGACTTCTAACATCTTTAGCTTTTTATTACGTTTCGTCCTGTAGTGCTGTTTCGTATACGGTCATGTGTGATGCATTGTAAAATTAGCTTGGACTGAGCTAATAATGATATACACTAGTGATAATTAATATTTATGGTGATTTATGTGATATTATTCAAATTAATGAAGTTAATTATACATAATGATTTTCATAGTTATCATTCTAATTTCTTTCATAATTGAAAGCAGAAGCCATTAAAGTAGATGATTTTTCTTTTTCATGTGATTTGGTATTAGAGGTACAAGTCGGATTTAGCTTTCTTTATTACCATTGTGATATGGAATTTGGGTGAGATAGATGAAAGAAACAGAGAGGGGTAGCAAGAAATAGAAAGACAGAATGGGGAGGTTTAAGAGAAAGGGGAGACATGTGTGGTCAAAGAATATGTGCACTGAACTTCTGTAATAAGAATTCGATCTAGATTCAGCTGCCCAGAATACAACAACCTACCTTATTTATGGACAACTACCAAACAGTTATGAACTAACAATAGCTGAATAACTAACTTAGGACATCCTTGTTTTATTTATATTTACATAGGATATTGTGCAATGAAAATTTTGGACCTTTATCCATTTAAAACCATGAAATCATTGTGACTCTTATAGGTAAAAAATGGGCCTGTTGAGGGAGATGGCCTCAAAGGCATTGAAGGTTTATGTCAGAAAAAAAAAATAGAGTTGATCTATTTGTATTGCAGCATAGACATTAACAAAATTATAAATTATGTTTTATTAATAAGTTGTCTTTTACATGCAGCAGTTACTATCAATAGGTGGCAGTTATTGTTTGGCATTACATGGCATATGTTGTTTAGGAAGTTATCAGAGGGAAAGCTGCGTTTCGTTGAAAAAGGAGACTCCTGTTAGCGGAAACCCTGTGTGTACTCAGATTTTGTCTCAAACCAGATTAATTAGTCATAAAAATTCCAGTATCTGTGTAATCATTATTCAGTCTAAGAGAGTTCTGATCTGTAATTATTTCATGTTATGGTGTTAACTTCCCCAGATGGGATGTTGAGATATATATATATTGTTAGCTCTTATTAATATCATCACGGAAAACTCATCACTACTAATATCATCACAGAAAACTCACCAGTTAAATAGAGCCAATAAGATATGCAACAAAATCAACATATATTAAACCAATACAATAGAAACTATCAGTCGGTAAACAATCATCACCCAATAAAACCAATCCCAAAAACACTCTATTTTTTAGAATAACCGTAAAAACCCACAGATATTGCGGGCACCAGTAGCAAAGTATTGCTTTTCATATTACTCGGTAATAGAGAAAAAATATCTACGTTCCCACAGTATACATATAACCTTATTATCATCATCCTAATCTCAATTATAGCATTCGGAAATGTTTAAACATACAATGATTATAGCATCAAAGGAAATCGGCACAGCATCGTTCTAAATATTTACCCTAACAATAATATCGACACGAGTGGAATTGAAACATCAAAGTTGAAGTTATGGCTTTGCACTTACATGATTGCTGCTATGGTTGCTCCGATTCTGTCCAAGCCTCGCGGTGGCGCTGGCTGAGGCTGTGGATTCAGAAGATAAATCTAGTAAAGCCCTAATTCTAAAATCTTTTCATTCTTATTAACGAATTATTGCGGGTAACCCGAATGAATTTGAACCCGTTTCTGATAATGGCCCTTTTTAAGTCCAATACACATGACAAGGCCCAAACTAAATATGTTCAATTGTTCAGTCAGTCCATGGATACCCCCAATTACACATGAAACAATTTTTTCAGTCATTTGAGATCAATTATGTTAATTTCCATATATTAAAATTATATATTTTTGTCTGATATATTTTTAAATTTAAATATTAATCAAATATAAAAATTTATTGGTTTAAACTTTTAATAACTTTATAATAATTTAATTAAGAGTCAAATGTATTTTTACGCTCTTAATTTTCACTAAATGTTGAAATTAGTTAATTTTTGAAACTTTAATTTAACTTACTTTTTCAATTTTAAAAATGTGTGAATTTAATTTTTTAAAATAATTTTTGTTAATTTATTTAATGTTTTAAATATATTTTATGATATTAAATATAACGGACCCAAAAATATATTATGATTGATTGTAAACAACTTATCTGAAAAAAACAATATTATAACATGTAACTAAAAATCTGCTTTTAGCAAAGGTTGGACCTAAGTATAAAACAACGTATATGTATTATTTTTAGGTTTAATCCTTTTCGACATCCCTATTTATGTACGAATGTATCAATTGGGTCCTCGTTTTTTAAAGTGTATCAAAATAGTCCTTAATTTTGAAAATTGATATCAATTAAGTCCTTTCCGTTAAGTTGGCTGGACGGCGTTAAAAAAATTGATGAGTGGATGCTGAGATGACGAACGAACGTTCGTCCACCAGCGGACGAACGCTCGTCGACCACCGAACGAACGGTATTCCAGTGTGGAACGAACGGTCGTCCAGCAGTAAGAGGTCGACGAGCGTTCGTTCTCTGGTGGACGAGCGTTCGTTCGCTGGTGGACGAGCGTTCGTTCGCTGGTGGACGAGCGTTCGTTCGTTGGTGGACGAGCGTTCGTTCGCTGGTGGACGAGCGTTCGTTCGTCATCTCAGCATCCACTCATCAATTTTTTTAACGCCGTCCAGCCAACTTAACGGAAAGGACTCAATTGATATCAATTTTCAAAATTAAGGACCATTTTGATACACTTTAAAAAACGAGGACCCAATTGAGACATTCGTACATAAATAGGGATGTCGAAAAGGATTAAACCTAAA